AAAACAAAACAAAACAAACACCAAAAACCAACCAACCAAACAAACAAAAGATGCCAAGAGGATTCCCAGGACAGCCTCCAGGCTAGGAGAAGGGGAATAAAACCTTTAAAACCTTCTTGTTTCAAGCTGGCAAACTAATCCATCAAAAGGAACAATGTAGTGTCCCGGTCCCCGCCGCAGCCACGCACCCGGAGAGAGGGGGTTTGAATCGACCGCGCAGCTCCCCGCCCCTCCCCGGGTCCTTCTCGGAGCTACAGCGGCCGTTTTGGGGCATAAAGCAGACCATTAGGGATTAAAGTTTCATCATAAAATCACCCCACGACAATTGAGAAAAAAAAAAAAAAAAAAAAAAAAAAAAAAAAAAAAAAAAAAACAAAAAAAAAAAAAAAAAAAAAAAAAAAAAAAAAAAAAAAAAAAAAAAAAAAGCTGCTCCTTTGTCTATGTGAGCAAACCGGCAGCAGCTCAGACCTCAGGAGTTACCACAGCTCTGCTGAGCATTCCTGAAAGAAAATAAGAAAATATAACCCTGCAGTTGCTACAGTTGCTACCTTGGAAATTTTATGGCAGAGCTGCTTTTCATGTGTCCCTAAGTCATTAACTTAGAGCCCTACTTCTGCATTCAGCAGCTCTGGTTTGCTGTTAGATTTAAATTAAAGTCATACCATGTGGATCAGCCAGGTCGTGGCAGTGGGAAAGCTCATGTAGAAACCCAAAACTGAAGGAAGGAAAAGCATTAAGGTCCATTAGTTGTAATAGAACAAGGTCCCTAAAACGATGCTGTTTAATTGCATGAGGAAAACTGATTTAAGAACCTACTCTAAAAGCCTTTATCGCATAATATGTTCTCTCCTTACTGAGGAAGACAGAAAACTATCAGAGCATTCCTTTTGCTGTACCTCCATCTCTTGTGCATATTCTATTCTGAGGCCATGGTTCAGATCAACATTCAAATAATAGAGCTTTTATGTCTTAAAAAGTCAACATTTGCAAAGATTTTACAAATATTTTGTAGTGCCATTAGCTGCAAAGATGAAGTTACGGCAAAAGTTACTTCTTCCAGGTTCAGAAATTATTGAAACTGGGCCACTAGCAAAAAGTTACATTTAAAACAAAACATTTTAAAATTTGATACTAGTATTACTGTAATAATTGCAAGCATTAGTTTCCATTAATGAGAAGAGCCTTGAAGACAAAAACAAGAATCGTGATGCCTTGTAAAGAGACTTCAAAAGGTACAGAAGAATTTGTACACCCAAAGCCCCATAAACTCAGAAAGCACTGTGCTGTAAGTCTTTAAACCCTGATAGCTTTCCATCCTCCCCAGATACAGGATTCTGTCATTTGAAAAGAAATCTGGGTCTACATAGTGGCCTTGGCTTCAGTGTATTATCAAATTTAGCTCTTCAAATAAACCAAACCTTGAAGTGCAGGTAACCTCTAATTAGCAGGGTAACACCTTAAAAAAATAAAGCAATGCAGAGGTAAGGATCTTGTTACATTTATAAAGAAAAAATATTTAGTCACATTGGCTTCCCCCCCTCCCCCCTTTTTACACAGCACTGTTATTAAAAGCTGTTTTAGAGCTTTATCTAATAGCTAGGTAAGTAGCAAAGATACCAACATCAAACGCATGATCTTAACCTATAAAGTAGGGGAAAATTATTCTTTATTGCTCTCAGGCAGATCCAGAGACATTGTGATGTCACAGGAGAGGATCTGACTTTCTTTAGCAGCCCAGTGCTCACCTGGTTCACTCCATTGCACCTTTTCCCACACCAATCCTCCAGGCAGTTGCAGCAACACACACATCCACTGCTGAATGCTAACTGAAACATGAGAGGTCATGTTGGGACACAGCAGACCAACAGTACAGGAAAATTAATTATTATTAAATTGTCATATAAGATAGGTTACAGTTACCCACATCACAGCCAGCTCAACAAGCTGCAGAGGAAGGACAGGAAGGGCCTGTCAGCATCACCACTGGGATGTGATACCATCTGAAGGCCATGCTGGAGGAGCCTGGGGCCATTTGGAATCAGTCTGGGCCACAGCTGAGTGCTCACACATGACCATGGTGGCTGATATGCTTCAGCTTCAACTGGGGATGAATTTTCCCCAGGAGCTCCAGTGCTCTGCAGCACCTCCAAGCTGTCCTTCTGAGGGATTTTTGAGAGATTGTGCTTGGCATCTGTCATGGAATCTTATAACATTTTGCCAGAGGAGGTTTAGACTGGATATTAGGGAAAGGTTCTTCCCCCAGCAGGTAGTCAGGCACTGAACAGGCTCCCCAGGGAATGGTAACAGGCCCTAGGCTGCCAAAGCTCCAGGAGTATTTGGACAACAATCCCCAGGGGGAGATTGTTGAGGTGTCCTGTGCAGGGCCAGGAGTTGGACTTAATGACCTATTTGCTCCCTTCCTACTCAGAAGATTCTATGAATCTACGATGCTATGAAATAATATATTCAAGTGATATTTATTTTGTAAGCCATTCAAAGGAGATAAATCAATTAAGGCTTAGCCAGCCTTTGAATACAATTTCATTATGTCAGAGAGAGCTGGTTCTGCCCAACTGACTTGAGAACTCCGAAGATTTTAGGACACTTAGTCCAGATAGGGGATCCCTCACACACTGAGGCAAGGGCTCTCAGCCTCCAGGAGTTCCCTCGAGCAACCCAACCCAAGGAAGAGTCCTTGACTACAGACCTACAGCTCCAAGGAGGGCTGGCTCCACTGACAGCCCTGGCAGGGCTCCACCATAGCCAAGTGAGATCCGACTGATGGTCAGGTATGGTTATAATCACCCTCCCTGGGGGGCTCTGACCTGCTGCCCACCACAGCCACTCTGAAATGTAGTAGGGTCCAGCCTGCACACAGAGGTCAGTGATTCATCTCTGAAGCCATGCCACAGCTCAGGCCAATACAGGTCCCTGCTGCGGGAGTACCTGCACAGGTGCTGAGGACATGCATCTCCCGACTGCTCTAACACCTAGCAAGCTCTTGACTGGATGACTGGAATTTCTGAAGTTAACCCCTTTGAGGGGCACAACTAATGTGGGTCATGTGAGCAGACATCGTTAAGACACCCCAGCTATTCAGAAGAGTGTTCAGCATGTAAACACATAGCATATTGTTGGAAACAGGAGCACAATATCCCAACCATTGGACAGCCACACACATGTGACACAGCAGCCAGCACAGCCATGCACCACCTGGGACAGCCACACACTGATGAGCTCCACGTCCTCCTGCTGCTGTTCCCCAGGCTGGGGCAGCTCTGCAGGTGGGGTCTCACCTGAGCGGGGCAGAGGGGCAGAATCCCCCCTCCCCTACTGCCCACGCTGGGCTCAGCCCAGCCCAGGGGGGCTCTGGGGTCAGTGCCCATGGCCGGGGCAGGCTGAGCCTCTCACCCACCAGCACCCCAACCCTCCCCCAGGGCTGCTCCTCATCCATTTTCCTGTTTTGTGCTTGGAATGCTTGATCTCAAGACTAATAAACCATTCTCCAATAACATTATTAAAGCACATATCCAGCTCTTCAAAACTCCCTACTACTAGTTCATATTACCACACATAGTGCCAGAGTGAGTGGTAGGTTTTGTCAAACATTCAAAAGTACCAAAAGAACAGGTGCTTTCCCTAAGCTGTTGGGGAAACAAAAAAAGTAAATTAATCAGTGTGTTTACTGTGCATTTTACTACTTCTTAATATCTTCTTGGAAAACTATGATAAATGTAATTAATATTGTCTAACTGACAATCTGACAAAGTGTTTTTCACACCAACAGCTCACTGGACACATACAACTACGCTACAAATTCATTCACAGCCAGAATAAAACCACACGCAACCACAAGCTTCACAAATTATGAGCTTGGAATAAAGATGACTCCTGGCAACCAGGAAAGCTACTGGCTTGCTTCCTTACATTTTGTTGTTTTTCTGTTAAATCTTTTACCTACTGATAAATTTTAAAGGAGATTATTTCTGAATCTAAGCTAATAGATAGTGGTTGCTGCGCAACAAACATCAAGGGGGGAACATATAGAGAGGTCATTAATACATAAAGGAAAAGAGAAACCAAGGAAAGAGCGAGGAAAAAATCAGCTTCAATAACAGCTTATAATAAGTGCACATTTAAATGGAATTAAAGCTTTTCCACATCTATCTGCAAATGATTAAGTGTGGCTGGTTTAATTAGAGCAGCTCAGTGCAGAGAAACCTAAACCAACACATTCCTCAACCAATGTGCTGCTGGCAGCAATGCTGCTTCAGGGCTCACACAGCCATGCCTGGCTTTTTCTTCATCAACCTTGGGAAATCCAGAAAAAGTTCTCCTATGAGTCACTGGGAATGTAAATGGGGGTGATCTTTCTGCAGCACAACTAGAGACAAACATGCTCCAGGTGACATAATTCACCTCACAAGTGAAACAACAGCAAAGGCAGAACAAGAAAAGCAGTTACCTCAGGGAAGGTGACTCCCATGGGAGTGAAGTGGCAAGGGCGAGTCCATCCTTCTGCAAATGGCCAGAAGGAAATTCCAAAGAGGGCAAACTGCTCCAGACAGTCGATATTATTCCTCCTCAGGGGAAGAAATGACACTTGGAACAAAGACAAAAGCACAAAGGAACAGGAAGACTGAGGAGAGCACAAGGGAACACCAAGGAAAGAAAAGAGTTACCTAGAAGGATGCTGTCAGTGGAGCAATACATGAGCCCTTAAGTCTGGGTGATGGAGCCACAAACCCAAAGATGAGAGATCAGAAAGGGTTGATAAGCAAAGCCTTGCAACAGAGCTGGGACATGCGTTGAGAGAGGTAGGATGAACCAGAGAATAATGGAGAACGGGGGCTGAAAGCCTGTGGAGAGGAAGACACAGGAGATTGAAGGTGATCTCAGAGAGGTGAGAAATCAGAAAACATGCCTTCTTCATTCCCTGAAGAAGGGAAAGAAATCCAGGCACAGAGGAGCCAAGGAGGGATGGCTGGAAGACACCAGGGCAATCATAGAATCAGGGAATGGTTTGGGCTGCAAGGGACCTTAGAGTCCATCCCATTGCACTCCCTGCTACAGGCAGGGACAACTTCCACTGTCCCAGTTTGCTCCCAGCCCTGTCCAGCCTGGCCTTGGGCACTGCCAGGGATCCAGGGGCAGCCACAGCTGCTCTGGGCACCCTGTGCCAGGGCCTGCCCACCCTGCCAGGGAACAATTCCTGCCCAATCTCCCATCCAGCCCTGCCCTCTGGCAGTGGGAAGCCATTTCTTCTTGTCCTGGCACGCCAAGCCCTTGTCCAGAATCCTTCTCCAGCTCTCTTGGAGCCCCCTTAGGCATTGGAAGGGACTCTGAGGTCTCTCCCCTTCTCTTCTCCAGGCTGAACACCCCCAGCGGTCTCACACTGAATAAAGGCGGGAGGTCAGGGCAGTGGCAGCTGCCCAGGACGCTCCAGCACCCGCTGCACCCCTGTGCCCCGGGCTGAGCAGCCTGTGAGGGGCCAGACAAAGAGCGCCCGAAACATTCCAGGGCCGCGCCAGCCGGGGCCGCCATTTCACCCCTGTGGGCTCGGGGAGGGGGCGGGGCGCGGGCGGGCCATGCCGACCCCGCCCCCTCCGCCGGCCGCCATTTCAGAGCCGCGCCGGGGCGGAGCGGCCCCGCCGGGCGAGCGGCTCTGCTGCCCGGGGCCTCGCGGTTCACAGCCGCCCCAACGTGAGGCCCCGCGGCTATGGAGCCGGCACTGCTCACTGCGAGCGTGCCTGGGGCTGCCGCTCACGGCTGTAACCAGGAGAGTGCACCCGAGGTGGGGCGGATTCGGACCTTCTCTGCCCTTCTCTGCGTGGCATCTGCGCCGTTAGGAAGCTCTGTATCCATCCATCATCCATCATCCATCCATCACTCCATCCCTCCATCTTGCCTTGTGTGACCCGGAGTGCCCAGCTGAGGGCACTTGGCTCGTTCAGCTGGAGCACAGGAGATGAGGGGAGGCTCCTGGGGGCTGCAGCTCCTCCCGAGGGGAGGCAGAGGGGCAGGGGCTGAGCTCTGCTCTGGGACAGCTCCTGGAGCCCAGCGAGGGCTGGAGCTGTGCCAGGCCTTGGCATGGAGCTCAGGGAAAGGTTCTTCCCCCCGAGGGTGCTGGCACTGCCCAGGCTCCCCAGGGAATGGTCCCGGCCCCGAGGCTGCCAGAGCTGCAGGAGCGTTTGGACAGCGCTCTCAGGGCTGGGCAGGGTGGGGCTGTTGGGGGGTCTGGGCAGGGACAGGGCTGGGCTGATGATCCCTGGGGGTCCCTTCCAATCCAGGACATTGTGATTTTATGATTCTGTTTATTCAAAGCCAAGTAGAACCATTTGTCCTTAGCTGCTGCTTCCATCCATCAATTCCCACTGCACATTTTCCTCTTGAGTCAAAATCACGTTCATCAAGGGCTTCCTGGGTCACCCTGTTTTCACTGAGCTTTTTTCATGTTTGAGGATATCCCAGAAATGGTATGACCAAAAATACCTGTAGCATTCATGTTGCATTATCTTGAGATAATTTCAAATATGACACTTGGTTTTACATTGCTAAAGTTCCACATTACCATAAGCTGATGTTTTCACATTGAACTGAAACACTGTAACAGACCATTAATATATAGCAAGATCCATAATATCAAAAAGAGATAATTCCTTTAAGAATTGACAGACAGCTTCAAAGGACAGCTTTTCATTGACATCTTAAATAAGTGTTTATGGTAATAGATGAAATTTTGAGATTGCAAATATGCTGTCAAAATATTAAGGCCCATCAACGCTCTGTGCAGTGTTGTGCTCATGGCCTCAATTTTTGAAGATTTGAAACCCACCTCATGTCCAAGAATGGGATCGTTATTTAAAACCTGGATGATACAAGGAAAACATCAAATTTACAGTAAAAGAAAACTGCCACTGATGTGAATGACAATATTGTGATTTTGGGGCTGGCAGGATGAGCAAATAACAGATGCATAAACGTCTTTAATGTTTTATGAGGCCTTAAAGGATATTTCCAAACCTGTCAGGCTTGGAATTTTCATGTGAGGATTCCCCATCTGGCAGGGAGAACTATTGTAGAGATGAAAGGAAAATGGCAATGCTTTTAACATTGCTCTTAATCCAACATCCTCAGCAGTCTCTTCATGGAGCTGAACATTAGGATCTCTGTCACGCTGTGCCCATTGCATATGTCAGAGGCTGGGCTGTCCCTGGTTGTCACATGTGGAAGATGAGCACATGGCCCAATGTAATAGGCCACTTGAAAGGGTTTCTGGGCAGTTTAACCAGAAAACATCAGTGCAACCATGTTGGGAATTTACCAGATAAGCTCTTGCTAGAGGCCACATCAGGATAGGCAGAGATAGATATTTGTATTTTCATTGAGTAATGTGCCACATATTCCAGTAGACAGAGTATTTCCACATGTGTGCATGGAAATACCAAAGAACACAAACTCCTGTCTGGCTGCAATTCCCATCCTTCAGGCGAGATTTCACTCTTCTAGACTTGAGAAAGGAGCTAGAGAAGCAGAAATTTGATTTTCAGGTATGCCACTCAACTAAAAAAGACTCAAATTATGAGTTGTCTGTGAATGAAAAGGAAATAATGTATTGTAATGCAGAAGTATTCTGATTTTTCTTCCCCGAAGTTGAGCACCTTAACGCAGGATTTCCAGACCTGAAGCTTATATGTCACACACTAACACGCTGCTTTGTACCAGGGTATTATTGCAGAGTACTGTTGGCAATGACAAAAAGACTTCTCTTTCTTCAGAATAGTGGAATTTTACTCTCACAGATGTCTCCTGTGCAGTGGAAATAGGTGCAGATAGAAAGGGATGCCCTTGGCTACGAAAAGTGAAAACGGAAGAGGGAAAACTCTTGGGCAGCTGGTCCCTTCAGGGCGCTGCAGAATTTCTCAGCACAGCGAAGTGCTGGCCACCAGTTTCTCTGAGAGATCATTTGCATCTCATTTACACAAAAAGCACTTAATCTCCTACCCAGTCACCAGCATTCCCGTGGGCTGTGCCTGGGGAGATTCCCTGTCGCGGGCTCCGGCTGACACTGGCCCTCAGCCGAGGAGAGGCTCGGCTGCCGGGAGCGCTGCCCGCAGCCGCCGGGCCCAGGGCTGCCGTGCTCCATCTTCACGCGAGCCTGGCTCGCTGGCACAGCCCGGCCGGCACAGGGCGCACGTTCTCCTGCGGGCGCCGCTCCAGAAGCGCAGCCGGACCCTCACCCAGCCCGGGCCGCCGGGATCGCTCTCCCCGCGGCCGGGCCCTCCACCCCGGCCGCGGTCCCCTCCCCCCGGCGCGCGGCGCGCTCCGCCCCCGGCGGGCGCTTGACGGACGGGAGGAGAAGCCAATGGCGCGCGGGGCACGTGCGCGCGGCAGCCAATGGGTGTCGGCGGGCGGCGCGGGGGCGGGGCCGTGGCGCTGGAGCGGCTCGTTGTGCGCTGCGGACCGATCGCCTCCCGCTGCCCGGGCCCGGCCGCCGCCGCCGCAGGTGAGGCCGCGCGCGGGGCCGCGGAGCCGCGCCCGAACGGCGCCGGCGGCACCCGCGGGGCCGGCGCGGGACGGAGCGGGCGGCGGGGACCGGGCGGCCGGGCCGAGGCCTGGGCCTGGCGGGGTAGCCCGGCCTGTGGGGGGAGGGGCCGCAGGGCAGCGCGGGCCCGGGGCGGCGGGCGGGCGGCGGGGTCGCGGCCCGCGGGGCCCGCGGGGGCCGGATGGGGCACGGGCGGGGAGCGGCTCCCGAGGCCGCCGCGTTCGCGGCGGGAAGGCCGCGGGTCGCGGAGCCGCGATGCGCGGCGGGTCCGCGCCGCGTCTCAGGGCCTTTCTGCGTCCGGGTAATGGCCTCATATTTCATGTTTATTTTTTCCGTGTCTGCGCGGCCGCGGGCTTTTAAATCTCCCACGTTGGCTGTGGCTGGCACGTCCTTGTTGACTGGCGGTGCCCGAGGGTCCATGCCAGCGCGGTCAGTGCCGGTTGGCATCAGTGCTGGCAGCGGGTCCGGTGCTGGTGTGGCGATTGCCCGGGCCGCGGGAATCGTGGCTAAAGCAGCACCGCCGCTGTTTGTGCTCGTGGGAGCAATTCAGTGCAGAGCGTTTGCTCGTTTTAGCGGTTGGAAGAGGCAGGACTGTCCGGGGGGCTCTTTCACGGCAGTAGCGTGAGGGCTGGCGTAGGACAGCCGTGGGGAGGCGAGTGCTCCTGCCAGGTTCTGCGCTGCTGGGACTGCGGGAGCGTTTGTTGGGCACAGAGTTGTATCCGAGACTTACTGGGAAAGGAAGCACGGTTTGTTTCGTGAGGATTTGCACTGGGATCCTGTGATCACTTAATTAGGCATCTGTGGAAAACAAAAGGGGAAAGAGTTGGGAAGGGCAGGGATTAATTCCTTTTGTTAACGCCTGTTGTTAAATTTGATCACTTTTTGAGGTCTTTATATTTTTCTTCATTTTACTCCCTGATGGTGTTTGTTGACTGCTCATGTTCCTCGGCTCTCACCTCTCTACGAGTTGTTGTTCCTGTAGTCATGTTTTAACCACTTTTTTTTGTGGAGCGTGCGAACACTTCTCTGACTTGTTACATTACAACTAGGACGATGCACATGTTCCATAGTCTTTATCAAACCTTTAGAGTTGATGGGATTTCTAGGATTCCTGTTGAGTCCTAGGTTATGTCTATGTGCATGCTGACTAATAAAACCAAGAGTCCCGAGCCTGTAAGTCTGTGCTGCGTGAGCTGTTAACTGTGATTGTCTGTCCCCTGTTTTGTTCTGAAGCAGAGTAACTGTGTATATAATGATCCCAGTGCTCCTGTGGTTTCCATGATTCAAGGTGTTTAGTGGTCTGGAGTTACAGCTGTGGTTGCAGTAGGCTCTTGCCAGGCCTGACTGGAATATGAACAGGAACATCTTAAGCTGCTGTGATTATTAAATGTGTTGTACAGTGAGTTTATAGCCCTGCTGTGGGTGGTTCTGCAGGACCAGATGAACTCCCTAGGGAGCTGTGTTGTGCAGTACCAAGTTTGTGAAAACAGCAGCAGCAGTAAGCGCAGTGAATGGAAATGTGAATGTTGTGTGTAGCAGCTTACTTATCAGTGTTTGTTGAACAGTGTTTGGTGCTGACATTAACTTAATGTGAAATGTGCTTTATGCTCTGAATTCAAACACTATTTTCTTTCTGTTTCTTGCATGTTCTGTCACTTTTTTTTTCTGGGAAAATTCCTCTTTGTCTTGACCTGAGACATGCCATTTTACTTTCAGAATCCATCTCTTTCAGTTGTACCAGCTTGCTTTCTCTCTTGAAGCTTTGGTCTCTGTCTTGTTTCTTGTTTATTTGTTGTGAGCTCTCTGAATTGATTCCCAAAGTTACTGGCTGTCGCTCTGACCATATGTGGATAAGCTGCCTGTGAAGTTGGTAGACTTTTAGTCACCAAGTTTAGAAAGCTTGAACTTTCTATGTTTTTAGACTTCAAGAAGTTGTTCAGAAGCTGTTCTTTCTGCACTTCCAGGTACTTTAGTTGCAGCCTGGAAGGTATTTAGGGAGAATGACAGAGTTAGCAAAGGAGAGGTGATACATTTTGACCTGTTCTGAAAATTATCAGAGCACTTCTGTCTGATGTGCAGATTTGTGTTCAGGCACCTGCAAGCTTCAAACTGCTGGCCTAAATGATCCATTTGAGTATACAACCTCGTTATATGTAGGTGATGTATACAAAAATAGATTCTAGTTTGTTTTTTTTTTTTTTTCTGATAGGGTGGAAATCAGCTCTACTGAAAAGGCAGAGATGTTTTTCATGTGTGTGGGCCTGCTGCCTTTGGGGGTTGTTTTGTTTGTTTTTAAAATTAGTAGCAGTGGTATAGTACTACAAAGGTATAATTTTCCTATCTCCTACTGCTTCCATGGCCTCCATGTAGGAACACAGCAGCAACCACAATTTCTACCAGGCCCTCAGAGATGGATTTCCAGCTAGTTCTGTTGTGCTGGTGAACAGGTTGGATGCTGTGTTTCTCTCCTTGCCTTGCTGCCCCATCAAGGTGAAAGTATCTGAAGATGGGTCAGTGTTATCCAAGGTTGGATCAATGTGTGGAGCAGCTGTTGCCAGATAGTGTCTGGAATCTTCAGCTCTTATGTTCACTTCTTCTCATCTCCTGCCCTCTCCCTTTCAAAAGCAATCATTCCCTCACAGTTGTCTCCAGATGTCTTTTGTGTAGGTGAAAAAATTGCCAAAGGCAGTTTATGGACAATCCGACACTGTCTAGAAAAAGGAAGATAATACATTATTTCCTGTTTTTAAAGATCTGTTTATCATAAATCTGTTTTTTTTAAAATACAGGTGCAGAAGGTGAGATAGTCCAGGCTGCACGAAGTTTTTCACTGTCTCTTCCCTGTGTAGGAACTTGGTGGTGTTAACTGGCAGCATCTTTGACCCAGGGCAAACATCTGTGGAATCACAGAATGCCAGAAGGGCTGGAGTTGGAAGGGACCTTAGAGACCATTTAATTCCACCCCCTACCCCAGGCAGGGACACCTTCCACCATCCCAGGCTGCTCCAAGCCCTGCACAACCTGGCCTGGAACACTTCCAGGGATGGAGCAGCCACAGCTGCTCTGGGCACCCTGTGCCAGGGTCTGCCCACCCTGCCAGGGAACAATTCCTGCCCAATCTCCCATCCAGCCCTGCCCTCTGGCACTGGGAGCCATTCCCTGGGTCCTGTCCCTCCATCCTTGTCCCCAGTCCCTCTCCAGCTCTCCTGGAGCCCCTTCAGGCCCTGCCAGGGGCTCTGAGCTCTCCCTGGAGCTTCTCCTCTCCAGGGGAGCACCCCCAGCTCTCCTAGCCTGGCTCCAGAGCAGAGGGGCTCCAGACCCGGGAGCATTTCCATGGCCTCAGAACTGGCTCCAGCAGCTCCATGTTCTTCCTGCGCTGAGAAGTGTATTGTGATGTGAAACTCTGAGCACAGCCTGGTATCCTTTATCTGTCAGGGCTGGCTGTTAACCTGGGAAGATGGGGAAATATAGATCTGGCAGTAGATGTTCAGTGTTTCAGTCACAGGTTTCTGATTGCCCTTATTCCTACAGCTCAAGCTGAGAGGGGCCCCAGTCCCTGCTGGGTGTTGGACCATCAGTGGATGGTAATTATGGCCAGCCTGTATCTGATTTCTGACAGCATTCCAATGATGATTAATTTTATTCCTAGGAATTGAATGTAGTTCATCAGACTGCTGAAGTAAGGTCATTGCTCTGAAGAGTGCAGAGTAATTCTGAAGAATGCAGAGAATATTTTTGGCCTCAAATGCTTTTGTCTCTGGATGGCAATATAAGCATTGACAAAAACACCTTGATGATATTATTATATGAACATGAATAGAAACAACGAGAAGAGGCATTTAAAACCCTTCCAGACAAATCTGATTGCTAAGGAACATCTAAAACTGCTTTGTTGAAGTATTAAAATTGTGACAGTTGAGATTTGTTAGACCAAAAATGTACTCAAAACTAAGTTTATGCCCAGTGTTTTTAAACTAACATTAAAAAAAAAGCTTAAAATATGTTGTACTAAAATGAGTGATTCAGCATACGGAAATAGAATTTGTGGAAATGCAGCAGCAGATTTTAGTAATGGCTGCTTCTAGTACTGAGCTATTTTTACTGGCAAAAGTGTTGGAATCTTAGGTGCAGTCAAGCTGAGGAGAACAAGGGCAGTGTCCTCGTTTCAGGTGTGCAAAGGGGAGAAGAATCAGAGATGAGATCTGTTACCTCTGGAAAACACAAAGGGTAGGCAAGTAGAAAGGGTTTGCTTTTTTCCCCTCATACACTGGATAAATGCTGTTCTTGAATTTAAGAGACAATGTAGATTTTGTGATTTCTTCCTCCCCTCAAATGGCTTTTGATGTTTGGTCAAGATTTGAGAGGAATTTGAAGGAATAGTACATGAATGTGCGGTGAATCAAATACCAACAGGGCTTGCACTGCACTGTTCTTTTCCTGGGGTATGTCTGTGTGTTCATGGAGAGGTCTGTGCTTGTGGGATGCAATAGGCAGACCTGTTGGGGTCATGAAAAGAGTTTGTATAAAGAATAAAATGTGTTTTCTTGTAGATTATAGGGGAAGGCTCTGTTATGTAGAGAGGTTTGGATTAAGTAACGGAGAGAGATGTGTTCTGACCGTGGAGTGCTGGGAAACTTTTTTTTTTGTTAGAGGCATGTAAGCCTAGGGGGAGGGTTTTCTGCTGGCTTGGCTGTTCAGGTGAATGTGTACTGTTCCTTACAGTGATTTCAGAGAAGACAGTATGATGCTTTTTCTTCCCCAGTGTCTGTCCTACTCTGTTGTGATTAAGTTCTTGCTTCTCAATCCTGGTATGACAGCTGCCTGCAAAGCAAGTTTTTGCATGACAATACTGTGTTGGATAGTTCTTGAAAACTGTTTTCCTGAAGCAGTTTAAATTCATGGAGGCTCTTCAGGCCCTTCTAAATGTGTGGGATTGGTTTTGACGTGTATTCCAGCCTGGA